CAACTTTCCGAATTACTTGACATTGGGATTTGTGAATTGCCAAATTCGCTTTTGCTTGTGTTGTCTTGGTTTTTGTTGTCTAAAAATTCGGTTCGCGTCGAGTCCCCCGATCTTAGCCCAATGCTCTCGGCGATGCTTTTAGTGGTTACTTCGGTATCTCCGCTGCCATAAACGATAACAGGGCCCTTCATCTCGCCTCTCAGTAGCGACTTGAGGCGATATGACTCGACATCGCTCTCGTTGTCCGAAAAAGGATGCGAAGGAGATTCATTCCCTGATACTGTGGACGAATCTGTGCTCTTCGGGGCCGAAACATGCTGCGACGCAAACGTTACCTAAAAACAGAGAAATTCTTTGTAATCTTCCAATATGCTTCGTTGGCAATAGTTGTGAACATTAATGACACATTTCATAGGTTTTATAAGCTGGTAACATCCAAAACCCTGTTTCTGATGCCTAATTTTAAGGTTAAATCGACTACTCATTTGCAGAGCCCGTGCAAAAGAAACCTCACTTCGAAGGTACCGTTAATTCCGCACTCTTATTCTCCAATGGCACTAGGCAGGTGCCTTACATTATTGCTTTTTTTTCAACAAGGCACCTGAGGTAAGGCTGAATGACTATCAAACTATGACTAAGTCTCCTTCAGCGCGCTGCAACTAAACCACGTGACCAGCACGAGGACTCGCCCCAGTACTTTGAATTTGTCTTAGTTTCGAGAGACCGTGCTCCAATTGAACAGCGTTCAACAAAGTCGTTTGCGTTGACGATTCGAAAAACATTTAAAATGTATTTCGTATTTTAAATTCACTTTTCCTTTTGATCTGATAAAGCATGTTTGCAAGTAACAAATGAAATAGTCGAGGCATGGAAAAAAGTAAACGTTTTTCTATAATCTCGCAGTTTAATCTGGAATATTTTACCTGAAATATTTAGTAAAATATTGAGGCAGAAAGATAAACTGTAGGTAAGAATAGTTTAAACTAAATGCTTGGCAAAAGATTGAAACCCCAAGATAAAAAATAGGTTAGAAAATCTCTTTTGTGTTCTTATCGAGATAACGTTATCAACAGCAGGGTAGAATAATAAATGTTTGGGTTAAGTGGTGAATTAAGGCACCCATTCAACTCATTTAGATGCCAGCTGCAGGCCTAGAACTGAGGAATCTCTATTCGGTTACAAAACCTAAACAAATTGAGACAACTTCTTTTCAAATCCTATTCTTTAGCACACATGTACGTTAACTTGTAAATTTGTCAGTTTGTAAATAATTTCCAAATTATATAGCATATTTTTTTCGAGTGCGGGCTTCAGAAACAAACGGTATATAACTCTAACATTACACTGGAAAATGCTTCGTTGTGTCATTCACAAATAAAAGTTTCCAAAACTGTTCGGTTACTTGTCGAGACAGGATTAAATATGTCGGGGGATATGATGGTTTTTCTATATCACAGTTTGAGCCTAATTTCATCAGGTCGGTTAGAAAATATGCCGTTTAAGAGAAAACTGAGGATTTCCCCAGGATAGGACGAGAGTCAGAAAAACATCACGGCTCCAGGGGCACTGGCCGGTGACCAAAAAGAGGAAGGTGACCAAAAATTTGGAAAATTGAGGAAGCTGAAAAAATCGTGTTGCCTTATGGCTTTCAAAATACAGTCGGACAAAAAATAAAAAGTTAGGAAACATTTATAAACCTCCTTTTCAATATAGCAGAACTTCGTTGCACTGTAAAAACTAGGTATTGACTAAGTATAATTTATATGTTTAAATAATGACAAGCGCTTTTGCTATTAATTGATATTTATATTGCATCTACAAAGCATTACATCTGCCTCAAAAATATCTATGATTAAGAACAAGATACAATGTTTCAAAATGTTTTGAAAAAGCAGAGTTGTCAGGACAGGAGATCAAGATTAGTTGAGAAACACGTTTTCTGACCACGCCATTTTATACCCATTATGAGGAAGGTTTTATAGCAAGATTTTCTTGGCCGAAAGAAGGTTGATAACTTTTCTGGACTCTCGGAAGGACAATAGAGTTCTAAAGTGTGACGTCACCAAAAAACTATTTTTAGAATTTTTGAATCTTAACGACATAACATAAAAGATCTTCATGAAATACTTCCACATATGCAAAATTAGTCAAATATGTCTAAAATCAGTTGAGATATTGCCAATGAAAGATTTGAAATTTGCTGACGAATCACTGGTATTTTCACTCTGTTCATAAAATTATGAATAGAGACCAAAATATAGAGGTCTGATGGGGACAGAGCCAATACACATGTGACCATATCTCAGCCAGTTCGTAACACATTTGACTGATTTTGCATATTTAGAGGTATTTTATGATACTCTTTCAGACTATGGGATCCAAATTCAAAAGTTATAAAAATAGATTTAGAACTTTAGAACTCTATATCAGATGCAGAATGAACATAAGTAATCATGCGGAAGGATCGCGATCATGTTTAGATCGCCATAGATCATAGATAGAGAGGAAACGACATGTAAAGATCACAGTTAAAACATTGACCAACACTTATTAAGACATATTTGAAAAATTAAAATAATTTGAGTATAATATCAACACAATTTACACATCTATCTCTACACTCATCTCTTCCGCTTCCTCTTTGCATTTTTCTTATCAAGCGATTTGTTTGCGTTATGCGATGAAGAAATTGTTACTCGTTTCACGAGGGAGTTTTCTTGCTCTAGAAGTTTAGACAGAAGTCCACGCTCAGCTAACATTGTGAGAAATGTTGATATGAAAGGGTCGTAGTTATGGCGACGACGACAATCATCAACCTAGAAAAATATGATGCAATGACTGAAAAGAAACAGGATTTATGAAAATACCTATCTTTTATTGCCAGGCGTGCACGCGAGATATTTGCTGAAGGTCTAAAAACCTTCTTCCAGACAAAGAAAACAAGGCATGGTTTGGGGATGGTATTTGGATCATCCTTGCCATGTAGCTCAAGTAAATTCCTTCCGTGTGCGATGACAAACTCCTATGGAATTTTCCTTTTCCGACCAAAAGCAAAGAAATAAAACACGAGGGTGTCCTGTGGTACATAATTGTGAGCTTCCTTGTCGTGTTTAATTTTATTTTTACAGATTCTCCTTTTTCCTTAACAGAGCATGTGATCCATGAACATGCCAATTTTCTACAACGATTTTGCTAAATAAAATGTTGTGCTGAAACATTTATCCTAGTACCAAACAGCTTAAATTTATCTTAGTACCAAAGCCCAAAATATCGAATTATGTGACGTCACCCATATATCTAGTGCTTCGTGCAGAAATAAAGTATTTTCTTGTCTCTTCGTGGATTCAAATTTTCTTTAGCATTAAAAAATATAAATACCACATAATTGTTAGGTTCAGTACTTATTCAAAGCAATTCTGCTTTAGCAATCTAATTTCAGCTTCCCAAATAAATCTTTAACTTTAAAATTTTACCTTGTGTTTTTCATGCTTGTCCTTTTGGTCTTTATAAGCAGTTTGCGATTTTCTCAAATCTACCTCCAAGTCTTGCATTGTTGTTTGAAAATCCTTAAAATGAAGATAGAATTTTTAAGTCTTGAATTATCAATGATTTACTCTGCAAAAAAATCCACATGAAAAAACTCGACAACAAATGTTGGACAAAGCGTGGAAAGGTACTTCATGTTTAGATGCCATTTAAAACGACGAAAATTCCTTTTTAGGAATGCTATCTATCAATAAAAAAACTCTAAACATTAAAACTCAATAATAATATTGAACAAAAAATATATTCATACGAGTCTATCTCATTAAGACACTGAAAGCCACGTCAACCAGATCTATGCACAGAGCAAGTCGGTTGTACGTCACTGTTCTGAGTTTTAGGCCTAAGACGAGCAACAAGAATGGCATAAAATTTGTTATTCAATGCATTAGGTTTCAAATATCGAGCTGCAAAAAATAAAGTTTGGAGGAAAAGAGACATTCCGCACAGTAGTCAATACTGTTCGTGATAAACTCTTTCAGATTTGTGTCAGCTATGATAGAGGCGATCCGAGTGCTGAACTATTTTTTCAAGGCACTATGTTTTGTTGAATTCTGGTGATTACCTAAGTCCTTATTGGGTAAGTAATACATTAGGCTATTGTCACATGTCCCAATCAGCGCCATGTTATACAATAGGCTATTCTCACATGTCCCAATCAGCGCCATGTTATACAATAGGCTTTTGTCACATGTCCCAATCAGGGCCATGTTATACAATAGGACATTATCAAATGTCCCAATCAGCGCCATGTTCTATATTAGGCTATTGTCATATGTCCCAATCAGCGTCATGTTCTACATTGGGCTATTGTCACATGTCCCAATCAGCGCCATGTTCTATATTAGGCTATTGTCACATGTCCCAATCAGCGCCATGTTCTACATTAGGCTATTGTCGCATGTTTCAATCAGCACCATGTTATACAATAGGCTTTTGTCACATGTCCCGATCAGCGCCATGTTATACAATAGGCTATTGTCACATGTCCCAATCAGCGCCATGTTATACAATAGGCTATTGTCACATGTCCCAATCAGCGCCA